TAAAATTAATTGTTTATCAACGGATAATTCTCTATTTTAATCGTGTTAATTGTTAACGCATTAATTGTATAACGAACTAAAACGAAATGTATTTTACATGACTCAAAGTAGCATGATATTTTAAAGATTGAATAGCTTCTAAAGTTTAAACAGAGTGCATCTAAATTTATGTTGCCCTTTCGTGATAAGCTCGCGGAAAGCTTTGGGCTTCATAATTAATTATGATATTGATGCACGAACGTTACCGATAACTCACGTGAGGCGTCAATAAATTATTCGACCAAGAAAAGTATTCCAAATACTGATGATTATACACGCGAATGTGTACCAACGATCTATACTATATCGCTGACACCCGCGTTTTACACCTAACACTCGATGGCATGATTAACGACTCATTGTGCATTCATACAACAAGGTTATTTATCACGGTTTTTTTTTTATTTTTTACTGAACACCTGCATAAACCAAACACGGAATTCACTGTTCATACTAGCATCGGTTTTTCGCACTTGAACAGTGCACAATGATCATTATTTCATACGTAGGTTAAGATAAAAATATTAGCAGTCATGAAGTTTATATACTTTATAGAGTATGTAAGTCACGGATCTAAATACGATGAGAAGACATATATACATATATAGACATAATTATCGTGGTATAAATAATTTATAATTACATAATTTATCATATTTTTCTTTTCTTATAAAACTTGAAGAGAAATTGAAATTCTTTTAGGTAAAGAAAGATTTTATTGTGATTTATTCTTATTTTTTTGACTAATAAATTTAAGTCAAATTATATCTCGCCAAACAAGAATATAAATTTGTTATTAAGCAGGTATCAATAATATTTGTTTTTATATGTCGGATAACACGAGTTTTTGACAACGAAAAAGAGTTTCGTGATTCATTTTAATCGTTGAAGAAATATTCTTCGATTTTCAGTTGCAAAAATGGACTCTGGGAGAGTCGGTAACAAGTATAGGATGGAAAATTATTTCGCGTATCATTTGAAAAGACCAAAATAGATCCGTGACAGAAGGCACGTGAGAGCACAAAGGACTGAATAAATCACCGCAAATGCTTTTCCATCCACGCTATTCGTTACGGAACCTATCTCGAGGATTCACAAATTCGTCTCGCGGATGCATTAGGCAGACAAATGCAGCTGTGAGAACTGTTTCCATGCGAACTATTTTGATGAAATCTTAATATTCTGAGCAATTGTTACGATTGTTACATATGTAAAAGTTGTATTATTGATGAAAACAAGCATGCGCATAAAAGAAAGAAAATTATGTAGCAATTTATTGATTTGAATATTGATTTGAATCGCGTTTAATTAAAAAATTGTCATTTTTTTCTGTTGTATGTCACGTTATTAGCGCATAAATATTATATGAAATAATAAAAATATTATACTTTAGATTTTATCTTATTCAAAAAGAAGAGAAAATTACTATAAAACATTTTTCTTTATATCATGTATTTTTTTATTCGCTACTTTACGTTTTTATTATATTCTTCAAAAATATTTTTAATATTGCCAATATGCGTGAGCTATTGTTTATCGCAAATTTTAGATGAGTTGTTTCAGGTTATAAATAAATGAGATTTTATGCATATCCATCTATCTATTTTCAAATCTGATAGTTACATAGCGAATGGAAAAGCGTGCGATTTGTCTCCATTTAGGTGAAAATGGAGGTTCGCGGTTAAACGTGAATCTCACTGTTTCCGAAACTGGTGACATGAGAACCTATTCTCATCACTACACTGGCAATAAATTTACATTCCATTTTCTATTGAATATCTCTGATATTAATCTCCAATGGATTGGAGCTCATTGGCGTTACATTGATTCAATATTAATCGAGAAAGGTGATCCAAATATGGAATAAATTCGTGAAATTGAGGTCACACGCGCAATATTCAGTGCAATCTAAGAAATCATGTTTGATTCAATATTAATATTTGGCACGACTTCGATGTGCCGCGTGTTTCGATCGTGTGCAAATATAGGACGAGTCGCTTAGTTGTTGACATCTCAAACGTGCCCTTGAACGTTTTCCATTACTATTTTAGTTCTGATATTTAATTTATCCTATTCATTGATTTATAACACATGTCCCGGATAATTTACATAAAAATAGTACATAAAAATAGTACTATATAAAAATTTACTTTGCATTATTTATTTAAAATGCATTAAATTATATGTCATTATAATGTCACTTATAAGGAACTCTTATTAAATTTTCCTTAACTATTATTTTTTATTGTATACATATATTTACTTAAATATATATGTATGTAAATATGTGTAAATCTTTTTTATTATCTTTTTATACAAGGTGTTTGATAATTTTCATATTATTTCTTGCAAGCGGCAAGCGGTAGAACGAATTAAATTAAAAAGTAAGGCTCTCTACTGTTTTGCTATTTTTACAAAAATTACAAATATTTAATAAAGAT